CCCATTGAGCATCTCTGGAGAGACCTGAAAATGTCAACCAATGTTTACCATCCAACCTGACAGAACTGGAGAGGATCTGCAAGGAGGAATGGCAGAGGATCCCCAAATGCAGGTGTGAAAAACTTGTTGCATCATTCCTAAAAAGACTCATGGCTGTATTAGCTCCAAAGGGTGCTTCTACTAAATACTGAGCAAAGGGTCTGAATACTTATGACCATGTGATATTTCAGTTTTTCTTTTTTAATAAATCTGCAAAAATGTCAAAAATTCTGTGTTTTTCTGTCAATATGGGGTGCTGTGTGTACATTAATGAGGAAAAAAATGAACTTAAATGATTTTAGCATATGGCTGCAATATAACAAAGAGTGTATAATTTAAGGCGGTCTGAATACTTTCCGTACCCACTGTATATGCCAGCATTACACTAAATGAACTCTACCAGGCCATCAGTGAACAATAGACAGTGGACCCAGACGGATACCTCATCACAGCTGGGGACTTCAATCACGCGGGTATAAAGGTTTTACTGCCCAATCTGCACCAATATGTGGACTTTCCGATGATCGGAGACAACACATTGGACTTTGCGTACACTGCATGCAAGGGAGCATACAAAGCCTCCCCTCCCCCACCTGGGTCTCTCTGATCACATCGCCATCATGCTGAGACCTGCAAACACACCCAGAGTGAGAACCATCAGACCAACACAAAAGGAGGTACGTGTGTAGCTGGAGGGGCCTCTTATGCTCTAACAGACTTTTTTGACACTACAGACTGGGACATTTTCAAAAAAGCAGCCACTCATAACAATCATATAGACTGAGGAATACAGTGAGGCCGTGACAGCATACATTACAAAGTGAATTGATGCAACATCTCCAAGACCATCACGCTGAGCGCAGGGGCTCCGCAGGGGTGTGTGCTCAGCCCATTGCTCTTCACACTGCTTACCCATGACTGTGTGCCAACCTACAGCACCAACCACATTGTCAAGTTTGCGGATGACACGATTGTAGTTGGCCTCATTACCAACAATGATGAGGCCAACTAAATGAGTGAGGTGTGCCAACTGGTCCAGGTAAGGACAGCAACCTCTCCCTCAATGTGGGAAAGACTAAAGAGATCATTGTGGACTCCAGGAGAAAACCTCTAAAGCATCCCCCATTGACCATCAACGGTGCTGTAGTGGAGAGCGTGAGCAGTACCAAGTCCCTGGGGATGCACATCTCTGAGGACTTCTCCTGGACCAATAACACCACACCACTGGCCAAGAAAGCCCAAACACACCTCTACTTCCTCCACAAACTAAGGAAAGTCAGTGTTCCATTGCCCATCATGTGCTCCTTCTACTGGGGCACCACTGAGAGTGCCATCACTGGCTGCATCGCTGTGTGGTACGGAGTCTGTACTGCCTCCTGCAGAAGGACCTTGCAACGCATAGCAAAAATAGTCAGCAAGATAATCGGCGCCCATTGCCTTCCCTTATGGACATCTTTGACACCCGTCTCCCCCGTAGAGCCATCAGCATTGCTCACACTCCCACTTCAGACTCCTGCCTTCAGGGAGAAGGTATCGGAGTCTTCAGGCCCACTTCAACAGACTTACAAACAGCTTCATCCACCAGGCTGTGAGGATGCTGAATGCTGTCTCTCACCCCTGCTGTTTGCACAAACTCAATACATTCCGCCTTTTTGTCATATATGTGAATCTGCTGCTGTTTTTTATGTCATATCTGCTGCTGTTGGTCATTTGCACTGCTGTCCATGTACATTTCATAAGCTATTATGCATCTCATCACCAACGCCCCGGTGATGCAGACCACCTGACAACCATCTTATTTGCACTACTGTCACTGTTTGCACATGGCCTTGAGTTTCATCATAGCGTATTAGGTTGTACCATCTAGTTTATCCTTATTACTTGAATTCAGTTTTCATATTCCATTTATTCTGTTTATTCTACTTTTATTCTATTTTTGTGAGAAACAGTATTTTGATTTTTCTGTATGTGCTGCACATATAGTGAATTGACAAAAATCTTTGATCTTGATTTTACGTGTCACTAACTTTGTGTCTCCTCTCTCCCGTAGCGTGTCCTCTCTCTCTCCCTCTCTCTCCGTGTACCTTCCTGCATGTAGCCCTGGCTCTGGAGCTCTACGTTTCTGATGAGCAGTCACCGGCCACATCAACCTGCCCAGTGTTTGACTGGTTGTTGTCTTTGTGTCTTGCTGCTTTTCTTTTCTCTCTCCTCTATCCACTCACCCCAACCAGTCAAAGCAGAAGTCAGCCCACCAAGAGTTGGGGTCTGTCGGAGGTCTGTCAGGTGAGGGGCAAGGTCGACCCTGGACAGGTCACGAGTCTACCACATGCTGACCCAAACTGTTAGTATAGTAACACATTTTTAACCTTCCATTGTATCAAAGCATTATTAAAAAAAGAACTAGAAAATTGTCTCTGTAACAGGTACCAAGTGTATGTATATGGTGTAGACAACCACAGTCACGCATAATGGCTGTACTTTAAACATGTAAACATGACACTACTGCTACCAGTCCATTAGTTTAGATTAGCATAAAGACTGAAGACAGGGAAAACAGTTAGCCTGGCTCTGTCCGGTACTAACAAAATGTGCCCTCTGAAGTTCACTAATTAACATATTATCTTATTTGCTTTTGCTACAAAAAAAAAAATCTAACTGCCTGCTAGCATTAGCTTTATATTAACATACAAACACTACACTGAAATGAATGCTGAAAATAATTCTAACTTATCCAGTAAATTTTAAAAAGACAATTTACTACACTTACTTTATAAAATAAACTCTTAATTGTTAAGAAAATCCTGTAGCCAGTGTAGCTTTGTACTGTGATTAGTGGTGGATGAAGTGATGATTGTTTACTTAAGTAAAAGTAGCAATACCACAATGTAAAAATACAGTACTCTGTTACAAATAAAAGTCTTGCATTCAAAATGTTATCTAAGGTACCAAAAGTAAAAGCACCCAAAATGCAGAATGGCAGATTTCACAGTACTGTATATAATTGGATTACAATTACTGATGCATTACTGTATTCATCACTTTAATGTTGCAGCTGGTAAAAGTTGAGCTCATTTTAACCATCTTACATGCTTACAATTTAAATGACTGCTGAAAAGCTTGTGAATTTCTCTCCAAAGTCTCAAGATTATTCTGTATTTTGTTTTATTCATCGGATTCTGAAAAGTAACTAAAGGTATACAAGAAATATTTGCCTCTAGGTAGTACTTGAGCAATTGTATTTGGTTACTTTCCAGCTCTAAGCATTGGTAGCATATTAATTATGGTTGCAGCCCATCTTTCAGTTTCTTACTGTGGAAGAGAGGAGTGGCATTTGGGCAGGAGAGAAGAGTGACAAAACTGTCATGGAAGAATGACACGGACATTCACTTTTATACTAAGCAGTATCCCAACAGACACACTTCTGGTTGAATAGTACTTAATTTGTCTAATCAGGTCATTTCAACTGCTATCAGGAAATTAAAATTACTATATACAGAATTGGAGAATGAATAATAATAAAAAAAAAAACATTGTACAGTACGGCCTGGCCGAATGGATGGTCTGAAAGGAACATACTGTATGCAGGGAATAAACTGGATCACCATATACTATTAGACTAATATGAAAGATGCAGTAATCAAATCCTGCATAGTGCCTTTAAATGTTTGTAAAGCATGAGTAGGTTGTGAACAACTAGATGTACTAATATATAAACTAATTTTGCAATATACAGTAAATCCAGCAGTTGCTTTGTTTTACACATCAGGATAGATAAATCAAGTTTCCTTTTGCACAAACAAGGCACAAAAAGCATCAAGTCCAATGTCAATAAACCAACAGACACTGCTCTAAATAAATGAAGATTTACCATTTAAAATTGATAAACTCACTAAATAGTTTTGTCTAATTTTAATATGTCAAGAGAACTATATTATTTTGCTTATTGCGAATGAAACACCTCATTTCCCTCAGAGACTATGGCAATGAAACAGAACAGCTGCACAGACTGCCCAATAGCTCCAGTCAAAACAACCTATTAAAGTACATATACTTCAGAGAGATCATTAGATCTCTTAGTGCAGTCTAGACAAGTCCTGACCAAAGTCATCAGTAGTGACTCAACAACTGTAGAAGTATGGCATTAGCTGTTACGTTACATGTAGAGCAGAGTTTTGGGCAGGGGCCATAGACACTGCCAGATTACTTCAATCTGGCAACCACATTTGCAACTTGTGTTAACTGAATTGTCTTCAAAAGGTTCAGCCTAAATCTACACAACGGTACAACAAGTACAATAAATTTGCCATAAAACAAGTGAAGCGGTACAATGACACTTTTTCAATTTGAAATACAAACAGAAACCCAACACTGATTCTAAATAAAAGGCAATGGACCAGTTAATGTAGATAAAAAAATACATATGAACTGTTTACAAATAATGTCACTGCAAATCATCTTTTGCAAAAGATAGTTCAACCAAGGATGAGTCTTAGTGTTACTGAGTAGTCTAATCATAACATTTTGATCAAACAGAAACTAAACAGTTTGTCCTGGCATGCGCCATTTCCACTGTGAAATCATGTACAACAGCTACTGGAGTAATAAACATGTCTGCCTTGTTCTGGCACCAGGCTGAAAATATAAACAAGTGTCACAATCTGAAACATCACTGAAAAGACACTGAAAGGTCTCCGCTTTCCCACCTGAAGTACAGAGATGTGCAGAAGACTGTAGTGTGAGTTTTCTTTTTTTACAAATAGTGTGTATTCCTTTTGCCATCAACAGTTAAGCACAAGAAAATCAAAATGTGTTGAAACTGCAACAGCCATTTGATTATGTCATAATGTGGTGTGTATCAGAGAATTAGGACATGAGTGGGGGAATGGCATGGCTGTTAATTTAATTGTTGGATGGTCTAATGGCCTGGAACAAACTAAAGAAGAGAGCCTTATATCAATACATGCCTTAAACTGATTATACAACAGGACTATGGTATCAGCTGTTTAACTGGAAAAATAAAGCATTCAACAAACTTTGGCTTTAATATATTGAAATTGAAGAGACTGATGTGTTTAGAATTAGATTACTTGGAATCTGTACTGTAGCACTTGCTTTGACAGATTAGGTAACAGAAGTAAAGCAGGGCCTACTTTACTCCGGCTCAAGAGAACCCCAGGTGTGCATTTGCTCCCACCTAAATATCTGCTTCTGGATGTTGTTTCTTATGGGCTGTGATTTTAACCTCTATTAATCCTGTGCCTTGTTCCCCTGGCAAGAGGACCAGCAGAGATTCTTGTTCCTTACATCACAGTTTTATCACTAGATAGCTCCCTGAAGGGCAGGCATCAAGGGTGAACAATGTGGTAATGTGGAAGCAAATGTACTGCAGGCCTGCGTCACTGAACATCACATAGAGAGCTTTATATTTCAACTCAGGCTACATTAACAGTAGCTTTTAGTGTACACAGTATGCATCTAAGTTTGTATTTGCACTTAGAGTTTAAGGCACATGGGAACTGATTTTAAAATAAGGAACAGTTTTTAGTCATTGGGGACTAGGTTAACTTGAGCTAAACATGCAAAGTAGCTCTGACAAGTGTTCAGGGTATTTAGGACAATTGACTCTCATTTGTTTCTATTTCTGGAGGTTAACATTAGAGACCAGTATTGGACACAAAGCATTTGTGTTGTGGGTACTGGGCTATGCTTGAGGACCCTCAGTGATGTGGCTACGGTGCAGGGGCCCCTCCTTCCTCTACGGTAGCGGGTGGGTTGGCATCCTTGTGGAAAGGAGTCTCCTTGTAAATGAACCAGCAGTTACCAGCCCACAAGATCAAGTTCAAAAATCCAAAAATCTACAGATAAACAGAAAAAGATGATTACTGGAGATGATTTGTGACAAATAATGTTTATGATTAGTGGCTGATTGATGCCAATACCAATCTTTAGAGACCGGGAAGGCCGATGGCTGAGAAGGCCCAACAAATAGAACACAACAATTTCATGATAACAAATTAGATACTACTTTGCTGAGCATAAACATTTATTTAACAATGAATTATGGATATATTTACATTTCAAGTATTTGAAAATAAAAAATGAATGTTTGCTACAATCTTCACTCCCCTTATTTAACATTTTAAAAAACTGTTCATAAGAAATTAAAAAAACTGAACTCTGAAAGAAAAATAAACACCGACAAGGCTGCCCTGTAGATGTCTGAAGATATTTTTGTTAATTACCCCTTGTGAGTGCAAACATCAGTCGAAATTGATTTTCTAAAAATGACATATCAGCCCGATTAATTGGCCAACCAATCAGTCTAACACTATTTATTATGTACTTGAACAGATCATTCAGTTCAGGCTTTAATCGCAAAGCTTTGAAGGGGTGCTCATTTAAACTGGCTATTTCTAGAGTCTTTTAATGTTGGAGTTGAACTGGACTGCATTACAGTACATTCAGATATTACATCCCTCCCCGTGTGTTCCAGTCTAATCGTGTGATGAACTTTAAAACTTTTCACCAGCCTACATGACCATATCTGTTGCAGTTCAGTATTCAACACAACCACCTCGACAGTAGTAACACAAAACATACTTGGGTTAAAAAGGTTTGAAAGAAGTGTGATCCATACATATATAGACAGTCGCATTGTCAGTAAATGTACTGTAGATGTCATCCATCCATCATCTATACTGTTTATCCTGAAGAGGGTCGGGGGGAGGGGGTTTCAATGTTACTGAAACTCTACACCAGGGGTGCCCAATACGTCGATTGCGAAGGTAGTGTTGGTAGATCGTGTGTCAGTATGATCAGCTTGGTTCATGCTTTCAAACAAAATATAGGGAAGATATTGAGGTTGATTCACTCGCATCAAAAATTGCAACGCTGTTTCACCTGAACTGGTCTGGAGGGGAGGATGGGATATTGCCACTACAGGCTGACATTCAGCTGAAATCCAGGGCTAATGGACTGTTTTGGAACTTACAGACTTACCCATGTGTAGCAGAAACCTAACACTGCACATCAACCTGAACACACCATCCCCACCGTGAAACATAGTGGTGGCAGCATCATGCTGTGGGGATGCTTTTCTTCAGCAGGGACAGGGAAGCTGGTCAGAGTTGATGGAAAGATGGATGGAGCTACAGTAAATACAGGGCAATCCTGGAAGAAAACCTGTTAGAAGCTGCAAAAGACTTAGGACTGGGGCAGAGGTTAACCTTCCAGCAGGACAACGACCCTAAACATACAGCTAAGAGCTACAATTGAATGGTTTAGATCAAAGCATGTTCATGTGTTAGAATGGCCCAGTCAAAGTCCAAACCTAAATCCTATTGAGAATCTGTGGCAAGGCTTGAATATTGCTGTTCACAGATGCTCTCCATCCAATCTGACTGAACTGGAGCTACTTTGCAAAGAAGAATGGGCAAAAATTGCAGTCTCGAGATGTGCAAAGCTGGTAGAGACATACCAAAAGACTTGCAGCTGTAATTGCTGCAAAAGGTGCTTCGACAAAGTATTGACTCAAGGGGGCTGAATACATATGCAGGCCACACTTTTTAGATTTTTATTTGTAAAAAATCTTGAACAGCACGCATTATTTTCCTTTCACTTCACAATTATGCAATACTTTGTGTTGGCCTATCACATAAAATCCCAATAAAATACATTTAGGTTTGTAGTTGTAATGTGACAAAATGTGGAAAAATTCTAGGGGTATGAAGACTTTTGCAAGGCACTGTATATGAATATATGTTTAGTATTTTTACTGTAGGTAGATCATTTTGACTTGGTCATTTGGAAAGTGGCTCGCAAGGTGAAAAAGTGTGGGCACTCCTGCCCTACACTGCTGTAGTGTATAATGACGCAATCCCAGCATTGAAAGGGAATGCTGTTTTTACTTTGAACACCAGATGGCACTGGTTATACTCCAACTAGAGGCAATACAAGGCAAGGCAGGTTTATTTACTGCACATTTTTGTACATAAAGGAAATTCAGTGTTTTACACAATGCAAAGAAACAGATAAAACATCAAAATGCACATATGTATAGATAAAATATTAGAATGAAAAATTGATAAAAACATTAAAATGCTAATCAACAGTAACAGTTATATGACAACACAAAGTAACAATTCATTTATGCAACATGCAACTGATGAGCCCTTTTACTTTCAGCATAGCTGTGGCAGTCTGTGACTTCTCACTGTTCTGATCTGAACTCTGGGCACCACTGGTTGACCAGTCCCGGCAAATATGAGACACCTGCAAGGCTTGTATTCAGCAAACATACTGTATCTGATGTATTTTTGGCCCAGATCATTGAGAGACTTGTAGAAAGTAAGTATGGCCACAATTCTATATTTAACTGAAGCCAGTGCACAGATCTAAGGACTGAAGTAATATGTTCTCGCCTCTTGGGGTTTGTCAGTATTTTGGCAGCAGCATTTTGAACGAGTTGCAATAATCTAATGGTCCTACTGGTGAGGCCAATCGGGAGTGCATTACAGTGGTCTACCCTAGATGAAAGCATGAATGATTTTTTCTAAATCCTATTTTTAAGATGCCAGAATGATGACCTTGTTATAGCTTTGGTGTGGCCATTAAAATTTAATTGCCCCCAAGACTGTTGACACAGGTGTTAGTGTTCAGTGTCCTGGAATTCAGGTAAACACTGAGTGCTAGCCTTCTTTCTTTATGTCCAAAATGGATGATTTCTGTTTTGTCTTTGTTTAGCTGTAAGAAATTTTGTTGTGTACAATTGTTCACTTTTCAAGACAAAGATAAGTCCTCTCAGTTGCTTGCAAACTTCTACAAAGCGACAGTAGAGAGCATCCTCTGTCTCAGTGCAACAGTGTGATACGGGAGCTGCACTGCACAGGACAGAAAGGACTTGACCCGGGTGGTGAGAACAGCTCAGGGCATTGTAGGGAGTCCTCTTCTGGATCTGGACTCACTTGACTATACACTTCCCGGATCCAGAGGAGGGGCGGTTAAGCACTTTGTTGGCCTCGGCTGTGTTCAAGTGCTTTATACAGTGCCTTGCGAAAGTATTCGGCCCCCTTGAACTTTGCGACCTTTTGCCACATTTCAGGCTTCAAACATAAAGATATAAAACTGTAATTTTTTGTGAAGAATCAACAACAAGTGGGACACAATCATGAAGTGGAACGAAATTTATTGGATATTTCAAACTTTTTTAACAAATAAAAAACTGAATAATTGGGCGTGCAAAATTATTCAGCCCCTTTACTTTCAGTGCAGCAAACTCTCTCCAGAAGTTCAGTGAGGATCTCTGAATGATCCAATGTTGACCTAAATGACTAATGATGATAAATAGAATCCACCTGTGTGTAATCAAGTCTCCGTATAAATGCACCTGCACTGTGATAGTCTCAGAGGTCCGTTTAAAGCGCAGAGAGCATCATGAAGAACAAGGAACACACCAGGCAGGTCCGAGATACTGTTGTGGAGAAGTTTAAAGCCGGATTTGGATACAAAAAGATTTCCCAAGCTTTAAACATCCCAAGGAGCACTGTGCAAGTGATAATATTGAAATGGAAGGAGTATCAGACCACTGCAAATCTACCAAGACCTGGCCGTCCCTCTAAACTTTCAGCTCATACAAGGAGAAGACTGATCAGAGATGCAGCCAAGAGGCCCATGATCACTCTGGATGAACTGCAGAGATCTACAGCTGAGGTGGGAGACTCTGTCCATAGGACAACAATCAGTCGTATACTGCACAAATCTGGCCTTTATGGAAGAGTGGCAAGAAGAAAGCCATTTCTTAAAGATATCCATAAAAAGTGTTGTTTAAAGTTTGCCACAAGCCACCTGGGAGACACACCAAACATGTGGAAGAAGGTGCTCTGGTCAGATGAAACCAAAATCGAACTTTTTGGCAACAATGCAAAACGTTATGTTTGGCGTAAAAGCAACACAGCTCATCACCTTGAACACACCATCCCCACTGTCAAACATGGTGGTGGCAGCATCCTGGTTTGGGCCTGCTTTTCTTCAGCAGGGACAGGGAAGATGGTTAAAATTGATGGGAAGATGGATGGAGCCAAATACAGGACTATTCTGGAAGGAAACCTGATGGAGTCTGCAAAAGACCTGAGACTGGGATGGAGATTTGTCTTCCAACAAGACAATGATTCAAAACATAAAGCAAAATCTACAATGGAATGGTTCACAAATAAACATATCCAGGTGTTAGAATGGCCAAGTCAAAGTCCAGACCTGAATCCAATCGAGAATCTGTGGGAAGAACTGAAAACTGCTGTTCACAAACGCTCTCTATCCAACCTCACTGAGCTCGAGCTGTTTTGCAAGGCGGAATGGGCAAAAATTTCAGTCTCTTGATGTGCAAAACTGATAGAGACATACCCCAAGTGACTTACAGCTGTAATCGCAGCAAAAGGTGGCGCTACAAAGTATTAACTTAAGGGGGCTGAATAATTTTGCACGCCCAATTTTTCAGTTTTTTATTTGTTAGAAAAGTTTGAAATATCCAATAAATTTCGTTCCACTTCATGATTGTGTCCCACTTGTTGTTGATTCTTCACAAAAAATTACAGTTTTATATCTTTATGTTTGAAGCCTGAAATGTGGCAAAAGGTCGCAAAGTTCAAGGGGGCCGAATACTTTCGCAAGGCACTGTATATCAGCAAAGAATTTGACACCTACTGAAGGGAGCATTGTGGTATAAGGTTAACACAGTATCTGCAATGAATTTCTCTGTCGATTTAGCTGATCCACATTAGGTTTTCAAAAAATACACAAACATGACCCCTGAGCAGTCATCTGTGAATGCTGGCGCATACTTATACTCATCTCTTGTTTC